TGCACTTTTTCGCGATGGCGGAAAACTTCAGATTATTTACAAATATGCCACCGCGTTTTTGATCCAATTTATTGCATTTTTGGCTCATTTTGAGCCATTAGATGTTGAAATGGATGCACAAGATTCGTTCTCACTTTGCATGGGAAGACCTCTTTGTATTTGAACCATCCCCTATATATATATAATTGTTAAAAACATGTTTTGGTTAAGGATATACTTTGAAATATAGGAGAAGTTGTGCGGAATGATAGGGTGTTTGTTGGATTCTTGGACTTGGAAACTTTCTAGCATGGAATGCTTGTTATCACTACTTTCGGTAACCTGTTGTAATTCCACTCTAGTTAATATGTAGTTATTAATATCTAGTTTATAAATATCAAGTGATATTAACTAATCACTTCAGTAATGTGTAACTACAAAATTAATTCATAACTATATATTAATTAACAATATCTTTTATAGTATCTTTTATTTCATGATACTTTCCATTCTAACTTACGTCTTTTGGGTTTACATATTTCCAAGTTTAAGTGTCTAGTTTGTAAAATTGATTGGTATACTTCAAAGGTATAAACAATCAGTTCAGACATTGTGAATCATGTTGTTGGCCTTTCTCTGAATTTCTTCTTCATTTTGCCCCTATTGAACAATGGTATGCTTCTCTATTAGGATGTAATATGACTTCGAGTTCTTTGATTGGCTCACTTCATTAATAAGATAGACCTTTTTAAGAATTCTGCTACTGTGACATTGAACTTGCCTTGCATAATGATTTTTCATGTTTCTTAGATCGTTTAGTGTTGCTTGATTTACAATTTCATTGGTCTAGTTATCTTGCTTGTATCAAGTCCATGTATTACTTCGAAGTGCAATTGCTTTTGTAATCATTAGTTTTAGTGTAAGTATGCAATTTCCATCCTAAATTGTTCGTCTTTAGCCGGTTTAGTCCTGCATTGTTCAGGGGTGAGCAAATGGAACCCTCAAAGATTTCCGTCTTTTTTGGCAGAGTAGCTGGCATTCATATCTTATTGGAGACACATGTGAATATGTGATACATCGTTAATTTTTTTTGTTGGCAATTAAAAACACTCATTACATTCACTCACTTTTATATTTTAATGCTTGTATCATTGCAGAAAAAAATTGTGCAGGCTAAATTCAATCAACTGACTAATAAGAAGTAATCGACTTGCCTTTACAGAATGCACAAGGAACGGCTCTACTCAGGGGCGGAACCAGGGGGTGCGAGCCGGTGCCAGTGCCTCCCCATAAGCTTCATCTTCTTCGTTGGATACCTGCTATCCGAGATAGAGCAAGGCAGAGACGCAGAGATCGAGCATGCTGTTTTTTCCACTCTGCCGCTCTGCGCCCTCGCGTATGCCGTTAAGCACTTAAGCCGCGATGCCACCGGCTGTTGCAACGCCAGTCTCCCTCACAGTTGTTCTCGGTTGCAGTCTCGCATAGTTGCCCCTACGCCGCCGGCAGCCCTAGGCCCCTAGCTTATTTCTCTGATCATCTGAAGTTTTGAACTCCGAACTCGGAACTTCGAACTTCTGAAGCTCACCCACCTCTCTTTCCAGCTCAAATGGTAATCTCAGTTTTCCTCTACTCAATTATATATTATTATTTTATAAACTAATGTTAACCAAATTGATCTCTATTTTTATCATTATTGTTATTCTTGCTGCAGATGACAAAAAAAATCTAGATTGTGCGGCTCAAAGGAGGATGGATAATTATGTTCACCAAGATATCACCAAGTCTTTACTTTTATGAAGAATTATAGTTTGTTTGTAGTAGAGTTTAGTACTTGTACATTATTTGATTGGATATTGTGATATTGTATTGGCATTAAAATGCCAGATTGTTGTTATATTGAATTATTACTAAAAAGCTTGTTTGGTATTTCATTATTTACTACGGAGTAATATTTATATTATGAGACGAATTCCATTAGTATGTATATCTAGAGTATTGATATACACACACACTGTCTTATATGATACTAGTGTATCACTATCATGTACGATACCAAGGTGTCGTTAACATTAGCGATACAAATATATCGCTGAATTTTATGATACCAAAGTGTCATAATTTACTGACACTTTTACAGTGACACTAATTTTAGTGTCACAACTCCCACCATTCATTGACACTTTTTAAGTGTCACTAAAACTTTTAGTGACACTAATTTAGTGTCACTATAGACCACTTTTCTAGTAGTGGAAGAAATACGAATATGAATTTATTGGAATTTTTTCATTGTCAACACCTCTGGACTACTTAAGAGGTGAGAACAAGTTTCAATAAATGCAGAGTTACAACTAGGCATTGTTTGGGCTTACTAATACTATGTACTATCTATACATCTTTGCTTGCTTTAAGAACACATATACATACAGTGATACATGTAACAAAAATATTAAAAATTTCCGAAAAATAGTAGTAGGAAATACGAATATGAATTTATTTTTAAATTGTCACACACACTTTTAACATTTATACAATTGTTAGGAGTAGTGAGTCGGTTCATGGAGAAGTCAAGGAAGCCACACTTAGATGCAATCCGGCGCATAATGAGGTACGTAAAAGGAACTTTGGATTTCAGCATATTGTATAAAAGAGATGCATCATTTGAAGTGGTAGGCCATTGTGATGCTGATTATGCTGGAGATCATGATACTCGTCGCTCAACCACTGGTTACACATTTAGTCTTGGGACGGGCACTGTGTCATGGTGTAGCAAAAGACAACCAACAGTGTCATTATCAACTACAGAAGTAGAATATAGAGCAGCAGCAATGGCAGCTCAAGAGAGTGCATGGTTGATGCAACTTCTAAAAGATCTTCATCAACCAACTGACGAGCCAATAACATTATATTGTGATAACCAATCAGCAATACGGCTCGCGGAGAACCCAATCTTTCACGCAAGGACAAAACATGTGGAGGTTCATTATCATTTCATACGAGAAAAGGTCCTTAAAGGAGATATTGAGATGAAATACATCAGGACAGAAAATCAAATTGCTGATTTGTTCACCAAAGGACTAAACACTACGCAGTTCGAGAGCTTGAGGGATCAACTTAGCATGGTTGCAAGATCTGCAATAAGATAGAGTAGTCGTTGAGGGGGGTGTTGAAAAGTCAACGACTCTCTAGAATCTTCTAGAATCTTCTTTATTAAGTTCTCTAGAATCTTCTATAATCTTCTTTATGAATTCTAGGAAGTGTAGAATTCTCTAGATGGAGTATTGAATGAGAGTTAGATAGAAATACTCTAGAATATAATAGATGTGAGAATAATCTAGAATGTAATTAATGTAGAAGGATCTAGAAACACTCTCACCTCCTTAGGCTAGCTAGTATAAATAGAGTGGATGGACACAACTCCATCACCACCAAAAGAGTGAAGCATCCTCAAGAGTGAGAGTAAGAGAGACTCCCCACCTTTGTACTCAATATTTTACATTAATAAAATTGTCTTTTATTTCTCCAAATCTCAACAAATAGGCTAAGAATATGATTATATTTGTTAATATTTTGTTATATTTAATCTGGTTTGAGCCGCTTGTTCATCTTTTCGGAAAGATCCTTTAAAGTTCCAAAATCATCATGTTCCGTAATTCTTCTCTCAAAATGCTGATATTTAAACGATTTTATCTGTTGGGTAAGGTGTCCCAAATGTAAAATTGCTGCATTTGGAGATCACTATTCGATGTGGTAATCTTGGGTTTTGTGCTTGTAGTAAACATGTGTAAGTAAAGTAACTATCATTTAATAGAAAATTTAAACATAATAATGAAGGAAGACTAATATAATGACTGCAAAACTATAGAATAAGAAAGTACTATATATATATGTGCACGCTTTATTATATTGGTAGGTAAAAATGTCTCATTTTCACCATTAACACTTTCATTATGACTTTAGGGGTAAGACATGTGGGATCCTCCCCGTTTGAACGGAAACATTGTGAAAGGAGTGAAGTACCATCTCCATCTCATTACCTGGCCGGCATGCCCTCGGATTTCGTGCCCCCTTTTTCTTTTTTCCTCTACATTTCCTCCAAGGAGGAGCGCTTTATTTTTCTTTTTTGTCACCTTTTGACTTTAATGCTCCGCATATTTTGAGCTTTTCCCACACATAAAGAGACTAAAAGCACAAATATATTATCAACTCATACCAGAAGAAATTATGGTTTGTTTGGTGGGTTTTGATTCCTTTGATTTCCCAATCGGATGAGATAAAGCACAGCCCTACTTCCCACTTGAGATATTAATCATTTCACCTTTATTAACCATTCCTTCTTTAGGCTAATTGGAGTTTATGCTGGCTAGAGATCTATGTCTTTTCTAGCTAATGATTTGGTTTGACGTAAATATTCTATGTGACCGGGTCTACTAAGCAAGTGCACCCAAGCGTGCAGGGTATTTTCTTCTTATACTTTTAATAATTCTCCAAAAAAAAGTTTTTTTTAATATATAATAAATTAATAATGTGTTATCATAGACTGTAGTAAGGTGTTTACTTTACAAAAAGTAAAATATATTATTCGAAAAAATATGAACTTTAAGAGTACGGTAAGCAAAGTTGTGTAAATATGCATACATGTAATTATGTAAACCAAGTCAGGTTGAAGAAGTGTTCATTATACTAGTACAAGCATCGGGTAACCCCATGAGAAACTGTCCAGTTCCGGTTCAGGAATTGCCAGTTCCAGAACTAGATAAGTGTGTGGAATAATTTTGGGCGAATCAAATGTTTCCTATCCAGCCTTCAGCCAATTCCTTAAAAAAAATAGAACCGGATCAAGTCCAGTTCAGTGCTATGGCTGCAAATGCAGATTTAGATCCAGCAAGGGGAAGCAGGCCCCGTTCCAGCCTCTATCTCACACCCGCTCTGCTCCCATGTTACGATGTACACAAGGATAGTATGTGTACACATGGGGGCTGGGGCAGAACAAACAGATTTTGTGCTAAATGAGAAATGCAGTAAGCAACTATGAATAATCCAATATACGCATCCATTCAACATGAAACCAGAAGACATGTTAAAGGTGCTACAAATGACATGCCTAAAATAAACAGGATATAATGAATGTCTCAAGAATGAAAAGTTCTGAGAACTTCTGTACAGGTACCCCATCCTAGTTGCAGCTTTGGCACTTGGCTGTGATACCAAGGGATGAGATAGTCTATTCCAAAACTGTATTTCACCTGATATTCCAACTGCCACATTGCAGCAAAATGTGTTTAACAGTTGGACTTCACAATTTGCTAGCTATGACCTGTTAAATTTAGGATGCGATAATCCAATGATAACCTAACGCTGGAACAAGGATATGGAATACAAAATCTCATCCCAAGCACACCCAGCAGTCCAATTTAGAGTAGATGGTGATTCTAATTTAGGTAATAACAAGGTCAGGGCAGGCGCATGCATGAACCGAACCGACTTCATATATCATAATGATATCCAGCTTCTGTTTCATTGCTCTGAGTTCTTCAGAATCTTTCCACAAGTGAGTTCTTGAACTTAAGATGGCCATCAACACATCTACTGGAAATTATAGGAAGCACAAAACACCAAAAAAACAGATAAGGTTTCCTTCGAAGCCACATTAGTTACGAGGCACAAAACTATTTATAGAGAGATCACTAAGATAATAATTGAAACCAGATAAGATAACCAAATTAACAGCTCCTCTACTTGTAATTTCAGCTTTACAAGCCATTAAGAACTTGATCATATCCATATCACAAAACCAGTGAGTTATTACAGATAAACAACAAGAGCAGTGAAGAGAATGAAAATCTCTAGTTAAGAAAGAAAGAATAATGAACCGAATATGGGTCATGGTTATAGTTAGTAACAGTGGTGCAGCTAGAACTCCCATAAACTGAATTAGGGGTAGACCAAGAGAACAATTCATTCATATGAGTTTATATATAGTAAAAGAAATCACATATAAAGAGTTTTTACGGAAGTTGAGGCATTCGTAGGCAAGGGTTTCATTGGCCCTTGCCTACGAACGCCCACAATCAGGAACAATGATGCATCTGGAAACATATTTATTGCAATAGAAACCATAATAGAAGCATAAGAAGATACCAAAATCAAAACACGGACAACCAAATAGTAAATTTTTGCATTTATTGGAAATACCAAAGATTCATGCAGATTAGGCATGAAAGCATCACAAATACATTGACATAATAGATTACACAGTGAATGCAGCAAAAATTAATGTAACATGAACACTCAACATTAATCAAGTAAAGAACAACTGTAAGACCTTGGATCTCATGAGTAGAGTCGAAGCATGCTCCTCCCAAACGAATGTGTCCCGTTTAGCCTGTTGCTGCTTTTCCCTCGCCGACTACCACTCATGGGGGTCAAGTAAAAACGCAAGAGACCGTTGTCAAAATGCTTAGGGGAAAACCTAGCACTCCGATTCCTCTCCAACCCAAAATCCTCCTTCCTCTTGCTCACATTCCCATTCATCTCAACACTAGATTTCCTTCCATGCCCAAATGATCCCCCCATATAGCTTGAAGAATACCTACGACTCACACTACTATTACTCCGGAATGCCTTCTTATTCACCCCACCTCTCAAATCCTGCCAAGAAGCCGAGAAGGATCTCTCAATCCCATTTGGTCTGCTATATCGTTCATATTCATCATCTTTGCTCCCACCACCATTTCTCCTGTATATAAACCCTAATATATTCCACGCCCATCTCCTTGACTTTTTAGAACCTTTCCTCTCCCCATTTCCGATCACTGGAGCATTATTATCTCTAAAACCTGCCAATTCAGAAGTCTCAGAGCAATCATCCCTCAAGGAGTTGGAATTTGAATCCCTATCAGCAGGCAAAACTTTAGCATTAGAAACGGCCTTCATCTCAGAAATCTCAGCAGCCAAAAAAACTGCTGCCGGCTTCTTGACAGAGCCAGACCTATCAAGACTCTTTCTCCTTTTTGAGGAAGAATCTGCGTAGAAATTCCTAGTCTGGGCTGAACCTCCAGGAAGGGTGTCATCTTCTTCATCGATGCAATTCTTCATGATAGAAAATGGATCCTCAACTGGGATTTTAGTGGCTGTACATGAAACATTGTCTATCACTGGAGGAGCATCATCCTCTACGACAGAGACCATAGGAGCAATCCTGGGGAAGGTCTTTCCGATCATATGCCCATCCCAGGAAGCACGAGGCTCGTCAAAAGAGTATCTGGGGTCATCAAAGCTAATCCTTCCAGCATCGAGTGAGAAACGAGGGTCTGTGTCGCAAGACCTCCTTCCAAAGCCGTAGTCTGCAATTTCAGATTGGGTTTCCCGGAAATGCCTTGAAAGTTTCTTTTCTGCAGGTAGAGTGGTGGAGCTTCGACCAGCGTTAGACTTCTTATGCTTCTGTTTTTGCCTCCATTTGTGCCATTTTTTGCTGAAGACCGACGCTGCTGACCAGAAGCTTCCCGCTATTTCCATCATTCCGCCTGAATGCTTTTTAGCCTGGGAATCGAGATCTATATGATCCTTCATCGGCTTTGATACGTCCTCCTTCAAACATTCATCCTCAGCAATTTCCGAATTAATCACTCCACCCAACCTATTTTGGCTTCTCGAAGATTCTGGAAGCTCGGTGATTTCTTCAATTTCACCGCTTCCATTTCTGCTTTCACAAAAGACCTGTTCGTTAGAGACTTCCTTTTCATCTTCCTCTTCATTGGACTCGAGGACGGGCCTATTGACAAAATCCCCGGCATTCTCACTGCAGTGAGGGTTTTGGGAGGTGGAAGGTCTCGTTTCGTTATCAATGGAGAAAAGACCCCACAGGGTGTTACGGACCCTTACGTCACATGACCTGCGCTGGGGCTCAAAGGACGCCGTAGAGAAGCCCAACGCCTCATTCTTCGACGCTGAGAACGACTTCGTACGGCGGAGCTCGGGGAAGAATGAGGAGGGTTTGGACGGTTTAGGCGGGGGAGGGGGAAGGGATGGAGCAGCGGAGGAAGCTGATGGTTTAGAAAAGAGGGATTTGAAAGCAGCGGCGGCAGAGGAGGAGGACGTCGACGGGCGGCGAGAGGAGGAGGAAGGGTTATTAGTAGAAGCCGAATGATCTAAGGTGGTGAGACGTTCGCAGAGGCATTCCGGGCAGAACCCGGAGAACTGCTCCTCCGGGTGGCGGTCGCAGCTGAAGGAGGAGCGCGGAGGCTGCGCCGGCGGAAGCGGCGGGGGTTGGTCTGCGGCGGTGGGATTCATACCCGATGGTGTGAAACGCGCAGCCTTCCGGTCATGCTACGCCATTGAAGCGCCGAGAGAGAGGAAATGCGAGCGTGTGCGGAGAGAGAGCTTAGCGCTGCTCAGAAGTTGCAGGCCTTCCAACGGACAAACAGGGAATTGTGATCTCAGAGAGAAGAAAAGAAAAATGAAAAAGAAAAGAGGACAGAATTTGAAGGAAAGGCGAGGAATAAAAACACTATATGGAAGTAGTAAAGCAACGACAACAATAATAGATAAAACAAATTCTATGATGCTTCATAAAACAAATACACAAAAAATAATTCTTCGGATACCAAATAGATTTTGGGGAAGCTGATTTCCTCCCCGAAGACCCCGATTTCGGGTAATCGTGCACTAGTGGTGTGATATATGTCGTGTTTTTTTTTTTTTATTTAGGAGCGTTTTGAATTGATTTTATTTTTGCCTTTTTTTAATGTATGACGTGTTTTGATCTAATTTTTAAAATTGTTTTAACTATTTCATCGAGTAGAAAAAAGAAGTTGTAGTGTATAAAGTATGGAAACTCTCCGTCGCTCATATTCTCCGTTTCGAAAACTCTGAAGCGTGTCGGAAACTCAGAAACTTCAAATTCCTGTTTTGGGGTCGTGGGAAATTCGTTTCCCTAAATAATCAGCGTTTCGGAAACCCTGAATTTTCAACTTTTTTTTAAGAAGTCATATGATGGAAAATAGTGTCTTTTTATTTTTTTTATTTTTTGTGTTATTTCTTTGTAGCTACATTGTGGCATTTCATAACGCAATGCATTGCTACCAATGAATTGCATTCTAAATTATAATACTCCATCCGTTTCTGAAACAGGTTCCCCTTTTCCTTTTTGAACAGTCCCTGATTTTAAGTTACACTTTCTTTATTTGGCAAATTATCTACATTATCTACATCAAAACAGTGCAAAACAGTATCAAACAGTGTCAAAACAGTAAGATTTACCCCCATGTAAATTTATTTCGTTAATATGTGTGAAGCAATGAGGAACTTCTTTTGGAGACAGCGGGAGTATGTAATTATTTCTAAATTTGAGCATGTACAATGTTTTTATTATCGGGCTATTAAGCAAACAATACGAAAGTATCATGTGCGTATATATAAATGAAAAAATCTGTGCACATATGTGATAAAATATTTACAAATATATTCTTATATTTTCTAATATTTACGTGTTTCCCCCACATTTCATATCCTATATTTTCTAGAAATCATGTTTCTTGCGTTTCCTGTTTCACGTTTCCTGTTTCTTGTTTTTGTGCTACTTAGGTTGCAGTGTTTGGGTGAAATTGCAGAAATATTTCTGATGCTTTAATTTACTCTTCGAAACAGTTTGTTTAGATACTGGGGGGTCAGTTTCTGAAAACTGATTCTGATTCTGCTTACACTTTTAAAAAGAAACAGAATCAGTTCCAAACATCCCCTATAAACAAATTACACTTAGTTTTTCAGAAGCCGATCTTTCTCATTTTCTAAAAAATGTTTTTCCAAGTAATTTGGAGGTATTTCTTAAAAATGTCTTCTATTCTTTAACTATATATTGAAGTGTTACGTTTGAGTGAAATAGTAAAGGCATAGATGGGTATTCCAAGTAGCTCATAAAAGTTGGGAGAGACAAATTTTAAATAAACTAATTCTAATTATGCTTTTGTTTTTGGAAAAAGAGAAATAAAATCAATTACAAGTAGTTCGTAATATTGAAAGAGCATTCAGTACATCAACTTTATACTTCTTTCAATGAGTTGTTTATGCACATGTTTTTCTCTCGAGAGCTGAGGAAAGGTCAATAAAAAGATAAGTAATATTGTTATAAAAAAAGATAAGTAATTATATGGTTTTGCTTTATTTAAACTCTCAAGTTCAAACTGGGATTACATACAGTAATTCACATCGTTATTAAAAGCACTTGCGCTATGATGTGAAACATAATCTAGTTAAGATTTAGAGTGAGCTGCGCTACTAATCAAATATGTCACATTTATGATATTATGAAATTAATAAAAGGCTACATTAAACTCTAACTTTCAAGGAGCTCATCTATAGACCGCCTTATGATAATAAGTGATTAATGAGATTATAGTCTACATTGCAAACATAAACGAGTATTAAGAACAACCGTTTATAAGATTAGACCAAACAGAATTCAATAAATCATGTTTCAACACATCATATATATCATATCAAACCATAAATTTTCACTCCAATATAATTGAAAACATCCTAGATTATGTAATACGTAAAATTAATTGTACTTTATTTGTATAGTATACTAATTTAATTTCATTTACTAGTTTCTTTGTCGTAAAGATGCACTGCACTCATTCTATAGAATTTGTTATCTTCGACGTTTTAAGTCCATAGTGATAAAGTTTGACCAATGATTTTGATTGATCTATTTTGGTAGAACTATAAGTTTATACATTTATTCAACAAAGAACATTTTATATCATACTTATTTTATAAATAACTTTTGATATAAATATATTCCTCGTCAAAATCTAACTCCATTAGCTTAAAAATCAAATGATGACAAATTTTTAATAAAGAGATGAGGTGTGTTAAAATATTGTATTACACAAATTATTTCTCACAAATATTGCATTTGATACACATTTTAATTTGTTTTAATCATTGAATATCACCGTAATGTCATGATAATAAAATTACAATGCATATCTTGGGTTAAAAACTAGTAGGATAGTTTGTAACTTTGTATATGAGTGCGGTACAAAAATTAAAATGAGGTAAGATTTCAGATTGATCATGGCCTAAAATTTTGAGAACTGTAAAAAGTTGAAATATAAATGATGGAGTATCTTGTCTTGAAATCTATTCCATTAAATATATGAACTAGTAAAATGTTATATTAAAATATCGATTATTCTTCTTATTAGATTACTTTTTAGGATGAAATCTCTGATCTTAACATGATATGATCAGAACCAAATTGATTCACAACCCGATGAACAATGATGACACGATTATAAAAAATTATAACGAGGAATCGATAAAGAAAATGAATAACAACACGATCCAAACAAAGTGTCTGATCATGAGGAGAGATGTTGAAGTGTCACACTGGTTAAATATGATGTAATAAACTGCTATATAAAGATCTGAACTACTCATCCGATCAGGTTGACCCTTTTGGATTAAAACTCATTCATGTCTTAACATCTTGGCACTGATAAATGAAAAACAAGGATGAAAACCTAGATATTGACATCTTGACACTGATAAATATATAAAAACATTGTTAACAAATTAAACATCAAATTACATCAATTAAAATTAAAAGACTATGTAAATAGGTTAGACCACCAACTCCGTCCCACTCAACTTTATCAAGTTGATGTTGTTGAGGTTTGTACAGAGGAGAAAGAAATGAGTAGAACTACAAATTCATTGTTGTTAAAGGAAAATGTCAAAACTTTTTTACACAAACAAAAAAGAAAGTTGACGAAGTTCATTGGGATGAAGGGAGCATACAACAGACTTTGCATGATAAATTTTAAATAAAACAGGCTAGAGTAGATCATATCTAAAAAACACATCAGAATTTTTTTGTCCAAATGAAAGCATCCTTAATATCACTATAATGTTCACATATAATGACAAATTTTCGTGCATGCTTAATCAAAGCGCAAAAAATGTGTGTTTTTACGACACTTTAACCTTTATATATATGATGACGCTATAGTGAAAAATAAAAAATATTATTTTTCCATGCTCAAAAGGTAATTATTGGAGATTTTAAAAGACACGAATTGCCCATCCATCCCCAAACTTTTTTTTCAGATTTGACTTGGCGCATTTATTTTTATCATAAAGAAAGTGACTTATATTAAATAATCAAAACTTCGGCAAGTAACAAATCGACAAAAATTCTCGAACCAGATTCAGAGATAATCACCTTACAAAAAGCGATATGACACGATGATCCTATAATTGGCATAATTGAGTCAAGGATGGTCAAAATAGACTTTCCATCACTCAATCCTAACTCCAGAGTCTGATAGAAGTAAAACAAAAACACAACGAACATAACATCCAGACCAACACAAAAAACTAATACAAATTCAAAACCAGTAGAGGTGAACTGCTTCCCCAGAATCACAAGAACCTTGATCTTTCCTTCTTGGAGAGAAGACTTTTGCATAAACTCGGGTAGGCCTTGAAGTGTCATCTATTAAATCCTAGCCATACGGCCACTCTAAGGAGGCGGTTTAGGAGGAGGGCATATATGCCCCGCCTTTCCGGCTACCCTGAAACCAAGAACCACGTCTGATTAGCCAACGACTGAAGTCAATCATTCCAATTACCCACAAACTAAATAACAAAGCTAAACGTCAATCCCACAAATCCAACCACGTTCCGTTGCGAGCGAGAGACGTCGGTCTTCATGGTCCCCCTTACCAACTCCAAAAAATACAAGACAGCCACTGAAAAACGAACGTAACATAACGTCGGTCGGAGAAAACTAAAGCCGTACGCTTATAGCGGTAGAAGAGAAACTCTGAGCGAAAGTAGCTAGCTACTCGCTAGGGAGCTATCCGCTACTACACAGAGTTGTTTTTTTTATGCAAAGGAACATTTTAATAAGGCATGAACTTGGCGCACTTATTAAAATAGCAAAATTGTGTCTTTAATTTGTAGCTAATGGTAAAAGGAAAAAACAACACATCAACCACACAAAAACAGCCCTTTCTAATTAAGAAAATTAGATGAAAAGCTGAAGATTTTAATCAAGATGAGAATACTCAATTAGATTAGCCAATTTTTATTTTATTTTATTTATTATATTTTCATATTATCGTGCATATGAAAACCAACCATTAGTTTTTCCAGATTTCATAATTAGTGTAGCAATTCACATATATTAGAAGTCTACTTCTTTCAAAAAGGAAGTCTACTTTTTCTGCTATAGACTACTTTAACGCGGATGATATTGTAAAAAGGGAGAATGTGGAATTATTGATCAAAATTACATTGACATAAGTTATATTATGAAAAAGTTTCAATTTTTTTATAAGAGCAAAGAAATACGCTAAGAAACATGATGGCTGCTCCATCCCTGCATGCACAAATGTAATGACTAGTTTATCATTTAATGGCAATATTTTGTTTTGTGTAACCTATCACTCTTCCGCCTAAGTCGAAATAGTT